ACGAAATCATGAATTCAACCCGTGAATGAACACAAGCATGATACGCGCTGTGAAGCATGAGATTCCATGCTGGAAAACATAATTCCACCGTTCATTTGACTCTCAATAGCGCCATTGCAATATGAGTATAGTAAACTTATTTCTACAACCAGCAAAGCTAATTAAAAAAAAGCTCATTCAAAAAGTATAAACTATTATCCGAGCACACTGTAAAAACATGAGGTATTGGTTTTGTCACCGTATACTGAGTGATGTAAGCAGAAAACCACATTCTCGTGAAAAGTACAAATTGGACAGTTTCATTGCAATGATCTTAAAAGGAAAAGAAGAAAGGTGAGAGAGGAGAAAAGGAGGACCAAACCTAGCTCAATAATTATTAATTAGAAATAATCCATTTTCTATTCAAAACAAATAAAACTCAAGGAGGAAGGCGGAACATATTACATCAATTTTTAAAAGACAAGGAATTTATAGATAGATTAGGTGTTTGCACCCCATTCTATTACGATTGTCACAATTCACATTACTTTTTCCTCGGGTACATATAACATCTGGGCATGACAAACAAACTCTGTTTGCAAACTGGTGGACTAAGGTCTATGATATTGACACAAGCTGAAAACATTCGTCTCTTCTCAAAGGACTTTCATGATGTAAAAAAAAAGCTTTCTTTGCGTAAGCTATTAAACCAAAAAGTTCATCTCTAAAGTAAAGAAAAAAATCTTCCTTCACTTTCGATGCTGATACATACGACGATATTGAATGATTCACACAAATCAAAGCTATAGCGATGCTGACCCCAAAAAAAAGCCCAAACGATCGAACATTTGAACTATAGGCTTATGATACATGAAGATCGCCAGTCTCTGATTTGATGCAAGAAGTGTTCAATAATAAAAAGATAATCAGCACACGATAAACCCTTCCTCCTACCTACTCTCCTCTCACCTTATGATTCGAATTTGCAAAATGACATAATATGCAAAAACTCCAAAAAATTACAGGTAGGTCCATTATAATCATTAAAAATTTTCATAAGTTTCCAGGTAAGTAGATTTGACGCAGCCTGCAAATTTGTTTTTGTGAGATACGCCCAAACGCGCCTTATTAACCAAATTTTCCCCCTATTTTCTCCCAGAATGTTTTTGAAGTGCCATCGTAAACGGTAAGAAGGGAAGTTTTGCAGGCTGGCATGAGAGTAGCAAGGCAACAAGTGAAAGATGAGCGAGAGAGGAAGAGAAAAGCTGAGAAAGAGCATTCGGAAAGAAAATATAAATAAAAAAGCGGAAGAAGTAATTTCCTTTCAACAATAAAGTGCATTCATTGGCGAACAGAATTTTCAAAAACCGAGGAGATATGGAAATATGGGAAAGAAAAAAGTGAGAAAATGAGATTATCGTGATGCTATGCCTAGAACAACTCCAAAGTTTTACTGATTGAATTGATGAATGAAAAATTCTGGATGTACTTCAAGATAGCGTAAGTATGAGGTAGATGCTCAAAAATTTCCGAGAAAATGCCGGCCAAAATGCAAATACCCAACCCAATAATACCCAACTTTTCTTAACTGAAGAAAAAAATGAAAGAAATAAAAGTAAACAGGAAAACTTGAACTAATCTTGCACAAGTGCAATCTGATGCACTTAGCCAAAACTCCGACAGAGATAAAGAATGACAAAAACTTACGTCTTGACGAACTTATTCAGCAGTGATCGCAGTTCCATTAGATGTTTGAGTTCAAATTTCTAAAAAAACATAGAGGAGATTGTACAACCCATAATAAATATGAATGAATAAAGGCATTATTAGATAATAAATTCACTATTTCAAAGATTACTAAATATTTATTTTTTAAATCGACCCTTGAATAAGACCGAATCTTGGGAAAATAGATTTTCCTATATAATGTTGCACTTACAAACACAACTCCTCTAAAACATTAGTTCTGAACAAATCCCCTGCATTTATCCCCATTTATCTGAAACTGTACCAGTAAAACATTAGACATATTTTTCTAGCATAAATTACCTATCGTCCAAGAAAACTAGTGAAACCTCACCCGAGTGACCTAGCGCAACCTTCAACCCTACCGTTAACAGCCAACAGGCGACAAACAAGGGCTGTCCCAGTGAATACTCAAAATACGAGCTAATCAA